GCGCGCGCGCGCTATATGCATGCAGGAGACCAAGGAGGTTAGAAGACGGCGTGTGGAAGCAGGACTGGAGAGATGGCACTGACCGTTTAGAGCACTTGCAGTGGACTATTCCTTTACTCTGTGTAAGTATATGTTGCTGTGATTGGTTTAATAAAGAAGCTGACTGGTCAATAGCTGGACAGGATAAGGTTAAGTAGGAGAACCAGACTAAGGACACAGACAGAGTCAGAGGAGTTGCCAGCCAGACACAGAGAGCAAACAAGAGGTGCAAGATGAAAGAGAGGTAACACCGTGTGGCAAAATGTAGATTGAGCTAGGGCAATGGTTGCTCATGCCTTTAATCCCAGCACTTGGGAGGCAGAGCTAAGTGGATCTCTGTGAGTTCAAGGCCAGCCTGGTCTAAAGAATGAGATCCAGGACAGGCACTAAAACTACACAGAGAAAACCTGTCTCGAAAAAAAAATGTAGATTGATATAAATGGGTTAATCTAAGCTGTAAGAGCTGGCTGGAGACAAGCCTAAGCTATGGACCGATCATTTATAATTAATAGTAAGTCTCTGAATGGTTATTTGGAAGCGGCTGCTGAGACACAGAGAAACTCCACCTACAACTTGTTGCTCTTACACAGGACCTGGTTTTGATTCCCAGCACCCACATGGTGGCTCACCACCATCTGTAATTCCAGTTCCAGTGCCTTCTTCTGACCTCCATAGACTCCCGGCACACATGTAGTGCAGGTACATAACATAGAAAAAACACCCATACACATAAAATAAAATCTCTTTTTTAAAGGCTGCTGTAGAAGAGGAGGAGGAAGAGGAAGAAGAAGAAATTATGAGAATTTAAACTTTAGTTATAGGTGGTTGTGGGTACTGGGAACTCTGCTGCTATAATAAAATACCACATCCTGGGTAATTTATAAATATCAAAAAAAAATTTCTCACAGAGGAGGCTATTAACTCCAATATCGAGGTCTCTGCAGAATGGTGTGTAGCAGGAATCTTAAAAGTTCTTATTAATAAAATCAAACCCGAGGCCAGTTATTGGGGTCCATGCTGGTAGATCAGAGAGACAGAACAAGCCACAGCTAACCTCACCTGGTCAACTTCTCAGCTGGTCTTGTTTCCTCCGACTAGAAGCTTCTGTGTCCTCATCCCGAATGAATCCCAGCTGAACTGTGTTGCTCCATAGCCTGAAAGCTTAACCAGCCGAATCTTCTAGTTTCTGGTCCTCCTTATATATCTTTCTGCTTTCTACCACCACTCCCTGGGATTAAAGGCTGGCTTTCTGGGATTAAAGGCATGTGTCACCATGCCTGACTGTTTCCAATGTGGCCTTGAACTCACAGCGATCCAGAGGGATTTCTATCTCTGGAATGCTAGGATTAAAGGTGTGAGTGCCACCATTTTCTAGCCTTTGTATCTAGTGGCTGTCTGTTCTCTGACCCCAGATAAATTTATTAAGGTACACAATATTTTGGGGAACACAATACCACCACAATGGTGTGCACGCACAAATGCACAAACATATAAAATACATCATGTGTATTGTATAGTTAGCACAGTACTGTTATCAAATAATGGGGATGGAGAGATGGTCCATAGAGTAAAGGTTTTACCCTGCAAGGGTGAAGATCAGAATTTGGATTCCCAGCATGCAAGTAAATGCCATGGATGCCTAGCCCCTTATCTATAACCCCAGTGCACAGGAGGCAGAGGCAAGGGATCCCTAGAGCAAGCTGGCTAGCGAGGCTAGTTAAATGAGAGACTTCTGGGTTTAAGGGATAGATCCTACATCAATACATAAGGTTGTGAGTGGTTGAGGAAGACACCCAATGTCAACTCTGACCTCCATATATATACATACATGTGCCCACACACATGCACACATCATACATCAAATCATTAAAACTAGCTTATTCCTCATATTTTTTACAGATTCATTTTATTTTTAATTCTATGTATGTGGGTACATGTGAGTATATATAGGTGTCCTCAGAGTGCAGAAGAGGGCGTTAGATCCCCTGAATTGCCTGATGTCACCTGACATGTGTTCTGGGAACCAAACCTGGGTCCTCTTCAGGAACAGTACCCTTAATCACTTAGACATCTCTCCAAATCCCCCCATCTCTGTGGGGGTAAGTAGAGTCTCTCTCTGTAGACCAGGCTGGCCTGGAACTCACAAAGATCCACCTGCCTCTGCCTCTCCAGCCCTGGGATTAAAGGTGGGAACCACCTTGCCTGGTTCACACCTTTCCCATACTTATGGCCCTAGTGACCCCATAATTGAATTGAGAGCACAAGGTTCATGCTCCTCATTTTGCAGAGGATCAAAGGGCTTACTGACTCAGGGGTGTTCCAGAGATCAATGATGGCAAGTTGGAGCCAGGCTGGTGACGTCAGGGGATCCAACTTCAGGAGTCTATCAACTGTGCCATGCCTCCCTATAAAATGGCCATAAGGTCTCAGAAACTATTATGTTTCATTTTATTTTAAAGATTTATTTCTTTTTATTGTATGTATATGTATGTTTTACTAGCATGTATGTCTGCGGACCATGTATGTGCTGGTGCATGCTTGATGCCTGCAGAGCCAGAAGGAGGCTTTAGATCCCCTGGAACTGAAGTTACAAACTGTTGTGAGTCACCATGTGGGTGCTCCGAACTGAGCCTGTGTCCTCTGCAAGAGCAGGAAATGCAGCCTGGTGGTGGTGGCGCATGCCTTTAATCCCAGCACTCGGGAGGCAGAGCCAGGCGGATCTCTGTAAGTTGGAGGCCAGCCTGGTCTACAGAGTGAAATCCAGGACAGGCACCAAAACTCCACAGAGAAACCCTGTTTCAAAAACAAACAAACAAAACAAAACAAAAAAGCAAAAAATGCTCCTAACCTCTGAGCCACCTCTCTAGCCCTCATCTAACTGATTTTTAAATGGGCAAGAGTGTGCATTGGGTGGGTCAGTGGATAGAGGCACTTGCTGCCAAATCTGATGACTTGAGTTTTATCCTGGGGTCCCACACAGTAGGAGGAGAGAACTGACTCCTGGGAGTTCTCTCCTGCCCTGACATGTGCATCGTGACATGAAAGTGTCCTACGCACACATGATAAATAAATGTAATGAAACATTTTTAAAAAATAGATACTAAAAGATGGAAGTGGGGTGGTGCATGAGGAGGCAGAAGTCCTGGGAGTTCAAAGTCATTCGTAGCTACGCGGAGAGTTCAAAACCAGGCAGGGCATGATGCTACACACCTCTAATCCCAACATTGGAAAGGCAGAGGCAGGAGGATCTCTGTGAATTCCAGGCCACCCTGGACTATATAACAAAAACTAAAAATATTTTTTAAAAAGCCAGCCTAGGCTACATAACACCCCTGTCTCATGCCACCTCCACGTCTCCATGCACAGGCTGCCCACAGCCTTCGATCCCTACAGCCCACACAGCCAGCTTGACTGACTTATATCTGGACTTTTAGACATGGATGAAATAAACTTTGAGCTTGATGAAGCCATTGTCATTTTGCGTCTGTGTTATTGGTAAACCTTCTGAATCAGTGGAGGGCTTTTTGTGTGTATATGTACAGGTACACTTGTATGTGGCTGTGCGAGTGCATGTGTGTATGGAAGCCAGAGGTCTATGTCAGGTATCTTCCTCAATGACTCTTCACTTTATTTATAAATTTCATGGATTTCTTTATTTTGGGTAGGGTCGGTGAGTGGGTCTGTGGGCATGACCCCGGGGTGGAAGTCCAAAGGTGACTTGCAAGAGTTGGTGCTTGGTGAGATGCAGACATCTCTACCTGCTGAGTCACCTTGCCCCTGTTTCCTACCACACCCCTTTCCTTTTAAGACAAGATCTCTCACTCTACCTGGGGCTGGGTGATTTAACTGGACTGGCTGACCGGGACACCCCA